AACGTAGCATGCTCGATCGAAATCGAAAGTAGGATCGGAAATTATATAGTTGTTAAATCCAGGTAAAATTGCCTGAAATTACAAAAAATGGTCAGGAAAATCACGGTCACTGGCCGTTAGACAGGTGGTCGTTTAATACAGGTATAATATATAGGGAAAAGCGTTGGGAGGAATTCTCACGGTCACATATGACAGTAAGTCGCTTAATACAGTGGGTCGCTATGGCAGTTTTAACTGTATATTTAAACAAAATATTTATTTTACATACCACATTTTCAGAGGGGTATATGGGACAAGAGTTTAAAATTAATTTTATCTGACGCAACCAACAGCCAGTTTTATTTTTTTTTTTAGAACTTTAATTCTACTAGTTTGACATGGAAAACAGAGTAGTGAATAAAATTTGTAGGTAACAGCATTGCAAGCTGTTGCTTAGGGGACGAACATTTCATTCGGGGATGGGGTTGGGGGAGGCTTGCAGATTTTGGAAATAAATAATCTGTCATCGAAAATGTTGAAAATAAATAATCTGTCCTAGACTGGGCAAGAAAAAAATCTGTCCATGACTAGTTCTAGCACTCCCCCCCCCCCCCCCCCCCCCCCCCCCCCGAATGTGAGTTTTCAAATTCAATGTTTTTCTTTGGCTTTTTTTTGAGGGTTTCTTTTTTGTTTTTGCTTGTCAGACTTTTTTCAGTGAAGAAGAAATAAATAATCTGTCCTTGTTTTTTCTTTTTGGAAATAAATAATCTGTCCTTCACCGACATGAAAATAAACAATCTGACTTGGTAAAATTTACCACCCCTCTCCCCCTCAGAATCAAATACTGTGGAATCATTTTAATTCGTGGGGGTCAATGTTCGTGGACAAGCAAAATTTTACTTGTTCGAGGGGACGTAATTTCGTGGGTTACTCATTTATACGGTAGATTCAATTTATATATATGCTTACAAAATAAACGTTCGTGCGGATGTAAATTCGTGGGTAAGGGTAACCCACGAAATCCACAAACACCTAACAGGAGGTCAGTGTCGCTAAAAAATTGTCTATATGTTTCATCGTACCTTAGCAGTATTTAATTTGTGATAAATTTGTAGATCTACATAAATTAAAAATGTCCTTTTTAAAAATAAAGTTTAATCTCTTGACGTAACAGATGTATTTGCAATTTTTTAAATAATGGAATTCTTTATTAATAAAAAAAAAAAAAACCCTGTTAATTCAAATACGATCAAAGGAAAAAAAAAGGTCAGTTGAACCTTGTGTCAATATCGTTTTGCGATACCAAGTGAAAACAAAATTAATCGTAATTTCTCGGGCCTTTCCGACAAGCCGAAAAACAACCTCGTTTTTCCAAGCTTGCAGGAAAGGCCCGAGAAGATGCGATTGATAACAAATAATTAACCGTTTTTTAATACTTCCAGTGTTGATCATTCGAATTGTAATAAGCCTTCTTCACTAATTCCAACAAAAGTTATATCTAAGTATTGTATCGACTATACAAATCGTTAAAAGCCTTCATTATTTGTGATAAGTCATTGCTTAAATAATGTAACACTAAACTACCAATTCCAAGAAAGGTTATAGCTAAATAATGATATACTGAAGAATTTGATAAAACAAAAATCATCGCAGATTTCTTTTTCATTGTGATGTCATAATCAAATGTGCACAAGAAAGGGTCCAAATCATATAAATTGCGTACCCAATTTTATCAACGTCAGTAAACCCGCGACCTACGTTAAAACTTCGGAAAGTTATTGTTGGAATGCAGGCTTGTTAAAAATGTTATACATCAAAATTCGAGAAAAAAAATCAACACGTAAAAACTTAATTAATTCAATGTGATTTACATGTAAACCATTTGTTGTTGTATTCATTGTTGTATAAGCCCACTATCTTTTGTATGAGCCAAAGTCTACAAAATCATACTTTCTCACCGCTTTACATATACTCTATATTTTTTTTTAATTTGCCTTTTGATTTTGGGGGGGGGGTGATGGGGGTTAAAAGGTTTCAATTCATTAGATTATTTAAATGTATTCAATTTTCCTCATTAATTATTAATTCAAATTTGATGTGAATGATTTTTTTCATTTTATAATTCATAGATAAAGAAACTGCTTTCAATAATACAAAGAATACATTACTTCTGCTTATTTTAAACCATTTTCTGTGAACAATATAAATATTTAAAACATCAAAGTATCAAAACATTGAATTTATAATTCCTGGTAAATAAACATTCATTCATTTATACAAAATAGTTACGATACGTATTTGGATATAATTAAATTTTCAAATGTAATTATTGTATTTTCCTTTGATATTTTTTTTTTCCAATATCGATTTTCATTATTCGTTTTCCTTAATTTATTATTTAATATATACAAAGGAACACCATCTTTTTTCCTGAAACGGACTGTAAAATTAGATGCCTTCTGAATGCACATGATAAACGGAAAACCTGATAAACACAAAACATGATAAACGCAAAAACTGATAAACGCAACATAACAATATGATAAACGGAAAACCTGATAGGATACATGAACGATACAATGGGATGCATGTATGATAAGACAGGATAGAATTGTCAAGAATAATGTTGCAGGTACTGTATTTCAATGAAAAACTTTATTCCCTATTGTGGTCCCACCCTTTCCCCGGGGGTCATGATTTGAACAATTTACAATCTATACTACCCCAGGATGCTTCCATATAAGTTTCAGCTTTTCTGGCCCAGTGGTTCTTGAGAAGAAGATTTTTAAAGATTTTTTCATTGTATTTCAATGAAAAACTTGGATTCCTATTTTGGTCCCACCCTTCCCACAGGGGTCATGTTTTGAACAATTTACAATCTTCACTACCCCAGGATGCTTCCATATAAGTTTTAGCTTATCTTGCCCAGTGGTTCTTGAGAAGAAGATTTTTAAAGATTTTTTCATTGTATTTCAATGAAAAACTTGGATTCCTATTTTGGTCCCACCCTTCCCACAGGGGTCATGAACAATTTAGAATCTACACTACCCCAGGATGCTTCCATATAAGTTTCAGCTTTTCTGGCCCAGTGGTTCTTGAGAAGAAGATCTTTAATGAACCCACCCTATTTTTGTCTTTTCTTGATTATCTCCCCTTGTAAGAGTGTTTGGCCCTTCATTTTAACAATTTGAATTCCCCTTCACCCAAGGATTCTTTGTACCAAGTTTGGTTAAAATTGGCCCAGTGGTTCTTGAGAAGAAGTTGAAAATGTGAACAAGAGGCTCATGGGCCACATCGCTCACCTGAGCACTGTGGCTAGGAAAAAAGCAAAACTCAGTTCAGTATTGAAAAGCTTACATGCATAAATGGTCCCAACCTACCCTTAAAAGGGGGGGGGGGGTTGAGGGTATGATTTGAACAAAATTGAATCTACACTAACTAAGGATGCTTACATATTTCTTTGACTAACTGTGGCTTCTTTTCCTGCAAGTTTAAACTTTCATTGTTGTCCCACCCTACCCCCGGGGGTCATGATTTGAATAAATTTGAATCTACACTATCTGAGGATGCTTCTATATAAATATGACCAATCACGGCTTTGCTGTTCTTGAGAAGAAGGTTTTTAAAGATTTTTCCTATATACTCCTATACAAAACTTGGATTGTCCATTGTGGCCCCCACCCAACCCCTGGGGGTCATGAATTGAACAAATTTGAATCTACACCACCCGTGGATGCTTCTATATAAATATGACCAATCATGGCTTTGCTGTTCTTGAGAAGAAGATTTTTGAAGATTTTTCCTATATATAATCCTATGAAAACTATGATTGTCCATTGTAGCCCCACCCAACCCCTGGGGTCATGAATTGAACAAATTTGAATCTACACCACCTGAGGATGCTTCCATATAAATATGACCAATCATGGCTTTGCTGATCTTGAGAAGAAGATTTTTGAAGATTTTTCTTATATACTCCTATGCAAAACTTGGATCATCCATTGTGGCCCCCAACCCCTGGGGGTCATGATTTGAACAAATTTGAATCTACACCACCCGTGGATGCTTCCATATAAATATGACCAATCATGGCTTTGCTGTTCTTGAGAAGAAGATTTTTCCTATATACTCCTATGAAAACTATGATCGTCCATTGTGGCCCCACCCTACCCCCGGGGGTCATGATTTGAACAAATTTGAATCTACACCACCTGAGGATACTTTCAGATAAATATGAACAATCATGGCTTTGTTGTTCTTGAGAAAAAGATTTTTAAAGATTTTTCCTATATACACCTATGTAAAAATATGATCGTCCATTGTGGCCCCACCCTACCCCCAGGGGTCATGATTTGAACAAACTTTAATCTACACTACCTGACGATGATTCCACATGAGTTTCACCTTTCCTGGCCCATTGCTTCTTGAGAAGAAGATTTTTAAAAGATGCCATTAATTTTTCACTATTTTGTAATTATCTCCCCTTGGAAGAGAGCATGGCCCTTCATTTGAACAAATTTGAATCCCCTTCACCCAAGAATACTCTGTGCCAAGTTTGGGTGAAATTGGCCCTGTGGTTCAGGAGAAGAAGATGAAATTGTGAAAAGCTAACAACAATGCCAACGACAACGCCAACGACGTCAGACAACGGACAAATTTTGATCAAAAAAGCTCACTTGAGCCTTTGGCTCAGGTGAGCTAAAAAGTTTACAGACAGAAGGACAGACAGATGGACGACAGACAACAGGTGATCAGAAAACCTCACTTGAGCTTTCAGCTCAGGTGAGCTAAAAAAAAAATTTCCGCCACAAAATATATTTCTTCTCTTAATGGTTTTTGTATGGAATTTAATTGTAAGTTTTCAAGTGAATATATACTTTAATTTGTATTGTAGAATTCAAATTTAATGTACGGACTTAAATATGTTGCAGAATTTTAGAAATAAAGGTACAGACAAAATCTGCTCAAAAGCTCCTGATGGAACCTCATTGAATAAACATGCAGCATTAAGATTTGCTTACAATAAGGTGTTGTCTGGCCTGGAACACACTCTCAATATTCCCAGTGATGTATATCGTTCCTTTTCTCTGAGGTGCTGAAGTTTTCGGGTCAGGAAAGTGGATACTAGCTCCTGTCCTTTCCATAATTTGCTTAATATTTATACCACTTCTTCCAATAATGAATTGGTGATGTTGTGGTGCAATTTCCAACTGCATGCTGACTGCAAATTTCACCTTTTCAAAAATTTAAACATTTAAAAATAAATATTCACCTATTTAAAAGAATAATTATTATTCAAGTAAAATATCTGTATTACAACATTAACTTATAACAGTACCTGCATCGTTATTCTTTACAGGATATAAGATACGATAGGATACACGCACGATACCATAGGATAAACACACGATATGATAGGATACATGCACGATACTATGGGATACATGCACAATAGGATAAACATAACACACGTTAAAAGCAAAACACAGTAAATGCAAAATATGCTTGACCTGATAAATGGTTTTCACAATTAGATAAATGCAAAACCTGATAGGATTGTTTCAAAATGCCAAACGTTTTTGACAAAAACAAATTCTTTCCTTTTTTTGATATACTACCACACACTTGAGTTCCTCTCACAATATGCATCGTTATCAAAGCTCTACCCTGTTATTATGTCATCATTCCCCTCTTATTTTGTGAGAAACTGACGATTGAGTAAAGTCGGATTTTAATTATCCATCCATAAAGTGTCGATACTTAGTCACTATGTTTCTGGGTTATCTCCCCTTTTTCCTCAATGAAAGTGAAAGGTGGGTGATGAAAGTATCCAATTTAATTTTTGTATTATGAAATACCCTCCCACCTTAAACACTGAGCCAGGTGTTTTAAGTATCCCTTTATCTTTTCGTACATTTACACAGCATTACATAATTGAGATATATGTACAGTTATTGACAGTTAAGGAAATGTTATCGAGATTCTTTTCTGTTGTGATTTTTTTTTGTTCTTTGTCTTTCCAGAAATTAGTGCTGCCGTTGAAGGAGACCAACAATGTTGATCAGGATTGCCTATTATTTCCGTTAAGGACCTTTTGAATGATTTTGGGGTAAATACCATAGGTCACAATGGTCAATTTGAAGAAGTTTCCTTTCGAGGAGTTCAGGGAAATACCATACGTCACAGTGGTCAAATTGGCGAAATCATCATCTTCAATTTAACCACTGAACTGTTTATATTCTAGACTTGTTGTTGATGTTGATTTATGTGATGGTTGATGTTGATAAATGTAATGTTGACTGAAAATTATATCTTATATAAAGTAAAGCTAAAGCAAAATTATGTAATATAATTAAAGATAATATGTGTTGAAATGTGTCTGTAGCATGATTTAGGTCAACCCAGTGTGCTACTTTTCCCGTCAGGGAAGGCACAACTTTAATTGTTGGTATTGGGGGTATGCCATGTTGCCAGCTGATCCACTATTGTGTAGACCATTGTGGACAATACCTGCCAACTCGATTAAAACATTTAAAATAAATATTTTTTTTTATACATATTGAGTCTATTTAGGTCTTTGATAATGTAGTCTTTTAATTTTTAAATACTTGCAAAACTGCAAATCCAAATGTTAAATTATTTCAAATGTATTATGATAAACATTTGAGCCAACGATGCTTTGAAAAGGAAACCTGTTTTTTTTTTCCAAAAAGTTAGTGGGTCATCATCAAATTCAAACGGTTATAGATTAATTCCACTCAATGGTGGAAAATTTTTCTATTCTTTGTGTAAATGTCTAAAAACTCAAATTATGAGTCTTTTAATGATGTTATTCTGTTGGTTGCATAAGTTTCACATTATCTAGAACTGTAACAGTGGTTCTTGAGAAGATTTTTAAATGATGCCATTAATTTTACACTTATTTGCAATTATCTCCCCTTAAAAGAAGGAGTGGCCCTTCACTTGAACAAATTTGAATCCCATTTACCCAAAGATACTTTTTGGCAAGTTTGGTTGAAATTGGCCCAGTGGTTCTGGAGAAGAAGTCGAAAATGTGAAAAGTTTTCAGACAGACAGATGGGCAACAGACAAATTGTGATTATAAAAGCTCACTTGAGCCTTCGGCTCAGGTCAGCTAAAAATATATAAATGAACTAAATCAATTGACTTTAAAGACAATATTTTATTGGAATCATTTCTGAAAATTTTAATTTATAAGTTTGGGTGGAAATGGTTCTATCTGTCATTTAGCTACGTACTCAGTTCTTTTTCCATTTTGAAATCGATAAGTTGTTTAAAATTATTATGTTTATCTTCTGTATCTTTTTTTTTCTTAATTTTCTAATGTCAGTAGGAAATATAAATAGAAAACATATGTAGAAAAGTACACAATCATCGTAACTATGATGAATTAGGTAGAACATGTTCATGTATTATTAAAATACTTTGTAATTTTTTTATTTAGACAAATCATCTCAAAGGGCCCCGCTTTCAGCAATGAACATGAAAATGTAAGATAGCTGAAAAGGGTTTATTTTGAAGAGGAACATTTGTGTACTATTAAGGGATGTGTTGTTTGAGTCTAAAGGGCTTCTATGTCATCTTTGTCATAATAAAAAATGGCACAAGAATCTTGAGTGCTCCATACCCTCTATCAAAAACTGCACAAAAATCACGAATATTGCATATCCTCTATGAAAATTGTTGCATATCCTCTATCAAAATATGGAAGGAAAATCACAAATGTTCCATACCCTAAGTCAATTGGTAAAGTTTGAGGCTGACTGGACTTAAGGGAAAGAAATTATGCACCGAACAAAAATTTCAAACAGAGAAGCTAGTTTTTACCTTGACCCTTGATCTAAAAACTTTGTTCAAAATCACTGCACATCCATTGACCAGTGGCACTCTGTAAGTGAAGTATGAGCCAGATTGGACCAAGGGGGAGAGAAGATATGCTCCAGACAAGGGTTTTTCATATAATTCTGCTATGACCTTAACCTTAGACCTAGAAACATGGTTCAAGGTCACTGCACACGCTTAACCCAAAGGCACTCTGTGGGTGAAGTATGAGCCAGATTGGGCCAAAGAGAGAGAAAAATATGCTCTGGACAAGAATTTAAACAGAGAAGCTATTTTTGATGTTGACCCTTGACCTAGAAACTTTGTTCAAGGTCACTGCACATTCATTGACCAGTGGCACTCTGTGAGTGAAGTATGAGCCACATTAGACCAAGAGGAGAGAACATAAGCTCCGGACAAGGATTTTTCATATAATTCTGCTATGACCTTAACCTTTGACCTAGAAACATGGTTCAAGGTCACTGCACACCCTTTACCCAAAGACACTCTGTGGGTAAAGTATGAGACAAATTTGGCCAAGGGGAGAGAAGATATGCTCCAGACGAGATCTCGGATGGACGGACGGACGGACAGACTGATCACTATAGGGCACCTGCAGAGCGGGGCCCAAATTAAAAACTATGAAAGAACTCGAACCATTATGGCCTAGCAATTATGGAAAATTTAAAGAGGGTTTTAGAATATACGTTTTTGGTTATTATTACCCTAAATCATAAACACTTTTCACTGTGCAACATTTCCATCGAAACAGATGTTTATCATGTCAAACTTAATTCTAAACCTTACACTGGTTCAAGGTTTTCTGGGAAAATGTCCAAATTTTGCATGACTAATCGTGATTAACACATAAAGCACAGTTATTACTGCAAAATATTAAAGCAGAAAAAAGAACAAGAGGCCCATGGGCCACATCGCTCACCTGAGTAACTTTGGCCATACTGTTCTTTACCAGATTTTCCACCCTTGTAATACCTATTGTGACCACACCCTACCCCTAGGGGTCATGACTGGACAACTTAGAATCTACACTACCCCAGGATGCTTCCACATAAGTTTCAGCTTTTCTGGCCCAGTGGTTCTTGAGAAGAAGATTTTTGAAGATTTTTCCTATATATTTCAATGTAAAACTTGCATTCCCTATTGTGGCCCCACCCTTCCCCCGGGGGTCAAGATTTGAACAATTTACAAGCTACACTACCCAAGAAGACATTTAAAGATTTTTCCTATTTATTTCAAAGTAAAACTTGGATTCCCTATTCCGGCCCCGCCCTACCCCGGGGGGTATTGATTTGAACAATTAAGAATCTACACTACCCCAGAATGCTTCCACTTAAGTTTCAGGTTTTCTGGCTTAGTAGTTCTTGAGAAGAAGATTTTTAAAGATTTTTCCTATATGTTTCAATGTAAAACTTGGATTCCCTATTGTGGCCCCACCCTACCCCCGGGGGTCATGATTTGAACAATTTAGAATCTACACTACCCCAGGATGCTTCCACATAAGTTTCAGCTTTCTGGGCTAGTGGTTCTTGAGAAGGTTTTTTAAAAATCCCACCCTATTTTTGTTTTTTCTTGATTACCTCCCCTTGTAAGGGGACTTGGCCCTTCATTTTAACAATTTAAACTCCCCTTTACCCAAGGATGCTTTCTACCAAGTTTGGTTAAAATTGGCCAAGTGGTTCTTGAGAAGAAGTTGAAAATGTGAAAAGTTTACAGACGGATGGACTGATGGACAGACAGACAGATGAATGACGGACAACAGGTGATCAGAAAAGCTCACTAGAGCTTTCAGCTCAGGTGAGCTAATAAAACTATTCAAGAAATATTTCCAATGAAAATATTTTGAGGTAATGAGTGTGCTCATGTTGAAAAAAAAAATGAAAATTTCAGCTTGTGTAAAAAATCTATAGCCACAAACCATCATATTTGTCTTCATCTTTTACATAAACTTAAAAAGAATTGATTTCACAAAGTGTATTATATTGGTAATATAAGTGGAAACAAACTTGTATATCCCACAGGTAAAAAAAAATTGTTAACTGAGGCATCATTAGGCACATCAGATAACTGGACTACAAGTATATAATGATGGTTTCTAAAAAAAAAATCTAAAAGTGGCGATTTATTGTCATGTTTTTTTCCAAAGTTAAATGAAGTCACAGACAAGTACAACTTTCATACTTACTATATGTATAAATACCACAAATACAAATCTACATGTCAGTTATTATTGTTGTTCATGCTAGAGACAAGTACGAAATTTGACATTTCATTTAAGTTTTGATGTTTTCAAGAATCAGTTATTTGTGATAGTCAACTTGCTAATGGGTAGGTCATATCACATTAAAGATTCATAGGTAACATACAAGGTGAT